TGCCTTTGTTATTGAAGCAGGGCTCACCATTTAACCTGGAATGACCTGGTACTCACAGTGGTTCTCCTTTGCCTCTGGAGTGCTGAGATTAAAGCTACACGCTACCTCATCTGGATTAACAGTGTATATAATTATGGCGTACACGATGATACTTGATATATGTCTGCAGGGCGGATTGGCTAAATTAACCTAATGAATGTATCTGTTTCCAATGATCACCCTGACTTTGCGTGGTAAGAACATTTCAGATCCACTCTCTTAGCATTTCTCAAGCACCTATAAGACGACTTTCTGGGCTTATCTTCTGTCCATCAGAAGTTTGACATCCTTTGACAAACGCCTGCCCCTCCCTGCCCCAGCCTCTGAGAACTACTGTTTTATTCTTTGCTGCTATGAGTTTGACTTTTTTAGATCCTATGAGGCATTTGTTTTTCTGTGTCTTTCTTATTTTGATTAACACAATTTCTATCAGGTTCATCCATGTCATTGCCAATGATAGGATTTCCTCTGTTTTAAAAGCCTAAAAGCACTGTAGTGTGTGCGTGCGTGTGTATGCATGCGCGTTTGTGTGAGTGTGTGTGCGTGTGCGCATGTGTGCATGTGTATGTGCATGCATGTTTGTGTGTGTGTGTGTGCGCGTGTGTGCATGTGTGCGTGCATGTTTGTGTGAGTGTGTGTGTGTGTGTGTGTGTGCTGCACACGCACATGTCTCCTACGCTGTCTTTCTCCATCCATCCATTGACACTTACAGGTGGGCCCCCTCTCTTGAACTGTGAACAGGTCCGTGATGAGCATTCCCTGTCGTTCATCATCATTTTAACAGCCAATTGAAAGGGGTCACTTTGGAAGGGAGTGCCTGTGGGTGGAAGTCAACCATGAAAGACAGCGAGGTTTATTACTAAAAAGTACATGATCTGATAGAGGACAGAAGTCCCGAGGGGAGCGGCAGGGCACCTCAGTCGTCCTGGGGTTCAGGCCCATGGGAAGCCGTCCTCTGGTCACATTCCCTGTGGCAGTAATTGGCAGTGTCATGGCCAGCAAAGCCTTCAGTGTCCTGAAAATCATCCTGTCGAGCAGTGGAACTTAGAAACTGTAAAGTCTGGAAAAGAGCAGGTTTGGCTTCAGAGATGCTGGTCTTGAAAGGCAAGAAGGTTAATCAACTTTTACAGGTCCTTCTGGGTGTGTAATGGGAATTGTGAATAGTGAAGTGTGTGTGTGTGTGTGTGTGTGTGTGTGTGTGTGTGTGTGCGCTCATATATGTTGGTGTGGACTCCAGGAGCCCAGGCTAAGCACCCTTTTGTTATTTTATTATTTGTGTTGTGGTGGTGGGGGGGGGTACAAGCACAATCATGCCACAGGGGATGTGTGGAGGTCGGGTGACAACTGTCTAGAGTTTTCTCTTCCACCCAGTTGAGGCAGGCTCTCCTGCTGTTTCTGCCATGTTTGTATTCAGGCTAGCAAGCCTGTGAGCTTCTGGGTAATTCCCCTGTCTGTGCCTTCCATCTTGCCATAAGCGCTGGGGTTATGATGAATACCACCAGGCTCTTTACATTGGTTTAGAGACTGAACTGAGGTCATCCAACCCTGCACGAGTGTTTTTACATGCCACGCCATCTCTCGGCCCCGTCTGTGGGAATTTCTAGTTCCCAGCCCTTGCAGTGGTGTTGGGAGGTGTATTCTAGTCATTGTCTGCATTGTTACAGATGAGGCACCGGAGAACTTAAGAAATCGGTTGGAGATTGTCTGCAGGTCAGTGGGAGAAGCAGGGTTAGCACGCAAGGTCTGCTTGCTGCCCCCTGGTGCTTCACCGCCGCAGACCGTCTTCATGGCTCTCCATGGCCTCATGAAGTCCAGCTTGATGCTGTTGCATCAGGAAGTGTTACCCATACCATACTCAGAGTAGACAGAGCTCTGTAAATGGCAGCCAGAGTGGCCACTGCCACGAAAAATGGAGCACAGTGTCTAGGGTCAGTGTGTTTCGTGTTTCTATTTCACCGGCTCTCAGCTTCCTCCATACTTGCCAAGAAACCTGTGTTAAAACCTCTTGCTAGCCTTCCTTCCCCTGCCTGCCCCCTCCACATTACCTGAATTTCTCTGGTGGCTTCACACTCCTGCCACCATGGTGTTCCCGGGTGTCCCCAGCAGTAACACTTTTCCTCCAAGCTCCTGTGTTCTCTCGTATGTCAGTTGCCCACTCCACAGTGACTGTCCAAGGTGACTGTCTGAGGGTCTCACCCCCAAGCTTCAAAATATTGCCTCGTACACAGCAGGCACCCAGGATATTTGTATCACCTGGCTGTGTGCACAGCCAGTTCAAATCTGTCATTGCCACGTGAGATGAACTTGGTTGTTCTGTTCTGCTTTTCAGTCTGAACCAAATTTTGAGATACCAGAAGGGGCTAAAGCATTGAATGTGGGATGCTGAGGGCATTGTGTGTCCTCTGCATATGGCATCTTTCCCAAGTTCCTGGGAGGTCACCCCGCAATCACCTGCTGCTGGGAAAGCTTATGTGTGGCATGGTAGCCCCCTCCCAGAAGGTGGGAAGACAACCTGAGCCACCCCCTGCACTGCTGCTCCACGCAGAGTGAAGTGAGGCAGCCCCAGTCCTCTGTACCACTGATGTCCCAGCATCCTCTGGTACCTACTTACGCAGCATCCACAGCACAGCGGGGCTGCTCACACAGCCAGGCAGGGGCCCTGTGGGTTTATACCTCTGTGGTGGAGCCCAGTCTTACTCATAATTAAATGCTTGTGAAGATGACATTTGAGAGAATCAAGATTTTGAGTTCTTTTCGTTTCCTAGCCCTGTTAATCATTCTTGGAGAAGTCATGATGTCATAAATTTCATTAGAAGTGTAAATCACAAAAGAACAGTCCCTTGACCTCAGCAGTTTATAATCCATGTGAGTCATAAATAAAAGCAGCAAGAAATTAAACAAAGTTGCTGAAGGCGGTGGAGATAAAGAGAGCACTGGAAAGTGGAGGCCCCATTTAAGTCGAATGATTTTTCTCATAGAAGGCAAAGCGTTCAGAGCAAAAAAAAAAAAAAAAAAGTAGACTTTTCTAATAACCTTACCATCAATCCAGGGGTCCAGGGGGTAGATCTTGCGTCCCTACTGTGTTCCAGGATCTTGTGGATGAGACCTCCAAGCAAAGAGTGGAAAAGGCGTATGGGAGCTCAGAGAAAGAGCGCCATCCCCAGGAACACTGAGGCTTGCAGAACATCCCAAACACTGCTGTACCACAAGGGCGGCAGCCCGTATGGTGGTTGGGAAGCCTGTGGAGGGGGCCTGGAGAGGAAGGAAGGCTGCCAAGGGGTTCTAATACAGGTTCCTTAGGAGACAAGTGTGGAGGAGGCCTGCAGCCGGTGATGTCACAAACATGGAAACACGGCAGGGAAGTGGGGGCCGATACTGAGCAGACTCACCACGGCCAGGTTCACTAGGTGATGGTTTCATGGCTGGCAGAGTTACAGGGTGAGTTATTTGTGGCAGTGGAAAGAATGTCCTTTTGGGGAGTTTCAGCCAGGGGGTGTTGGCTGACTGAATACAGATTCAGTGGAAAATAGCAAATGAGGATAAGAATATGTATGAGTATGGGGACCTGGGGGCCTTGTATTTGGGGCACAGCCAGGAGAGGCAGGAACCTGAGCCCTAATGGGCCTCAGATTATAGATTGTTCTCTGGGTTAACTTTGCATTGCTGTTCCCGTGGGAGCTTCAAGTGGGGCTCGCTTGGCATCCCAGAGACAATCTTGATAGGATATGGACACTAAGTTTCTGAGAACCCTCTCAAAGACTCCAACTTCCTGGAGCACCTGGTAGCTTCCCTTATCCTACGCAAAAGTGGGGGTTCTGACCCAGGACATTTGGCTGCTGGCCTTGGGCGTTTTCTTTCTATTTTTAAATTTAATATTATTTTTTAATGTGTATGGGTATTTACCTGTATGTATGTATGTCTGTGTACCGCATGTGTATCATGTCCTCAAAGCCTATAAGAGGGGATTGGATCCCCTGGAACTGGAGTTACAGGTGGTTGTGATTACAGTGTGGGTTTTGGGAATTGAACCCAGGTCCTCTGCAAGAGCCGCCAATGTTCTTTTTTTTTTTTTTTGATATTGTGAATGCTTTGTTATTTATTTATTAAAAATTTCCACCTCCTCCCCGCCTCCCTTTTCCCTCTCCCTTCCCCCTCCCCCTCCCCCTCCCTTTCCCCCTCCCTCTCTCGTCCTAAGAGCAGTCATGGTTGTGGGAAGTCCAAGGTCCTCTCCCCTCCATCCAGGTCTATAAAGGTGAGCATCCAAACCGACCAGGCTCCCACCAAGTCAGTCCATGCAGTAGAATCAAAACCCAGTGCCATTGTCCTTGGCTTCTCAGTCAGCCTTCATTGCCAGCCACATTCAGAGAGTCCAGTTTGATCACATGCTCCATCACTCCCAGTCCAGCTGGCCTTGATGAGCTCCCATTAGATCAGTCCCACCATCTCAGTGGGTGGACGCACCCCTCGTGGTCCTGACTTCCTTGCTCATGTTCTCCCTCCTTCTGCTCCTCATTTGGACCTTGGGAGCTCAGTCCAGTGCTCCAATGTGGGTTTCTGTCTCTATCTCCATCCATCGCCAGATGAAGGTTCCCTCTGAGTGGGTAGCCTCAGTGAAGGAGCAGGACCTGTTCCTCTGTAAGACGTTCTTTTCTTTCTGTTTTTAGTGGGGCAGGTCACATCCTGCTTCTTCACTGTCTGGACAGGACTGCCGCAGCCAATGTTCTTAACCGCTGAACCATCTCTTCAACCACCCTGGCCGTTTTCTTAAAGCAGATACAGGACAAAGTGATTTACAAGCTTCGAGAAATGCTCTTATAGGGTCTTTGCTGCCCAACACAAAGACTTGATCTCTATGTCAGAAGTTGGCAGGATGGACAATTTCCTACAATCTGAGCCATCCTTGGCTTGTTCCTTTTGCCAGTTCTTATGTTGCTGTGTTTTCTCTTTCTCTCCCTCCTCAGAACCAGAATACCAAGTCTACCTGAATGCTTCGAAGGTCCCTGGATTTTCAGACGACCCTACAGAACTGCAATGCCGGGTGGTGGACATGAAGCGTTTGGAGGCCGGTGTCCGACTTACCGTGTCGTGGTACTACAAAATGAACCGTCGCAGTGACGACGTGGTGACCAGTGAACTTCTTGCAGTCATGGATGGGGACTGGACTCTAAGATACGGAGAGAGGAGCAAGCAGCGGGCCCAGAGTGGAGAGTTTATTTTTTCTAAGGAGCACACTGACACATTCAGTTTCCGGATCCAAAGGACTACAGAGGAAGACAGGGGCAGTTATTACTGTGTTGTATCTGCCTGGACCAGGCAGAGAAACAACAGCTGGGTAAAGAGTAAGGACGTCTTCTCCAAACCCGTCAACATATTCTGGGCCTCAGAAGGTAGGAACTTCATGCTCCTCATTGTTGGGTTTTGTTTCAGTTTCTGAAGTCTTCTGTCTATGTCTGTTTCAGTTACCGTCACCCCCCACTCATACTAGAAGTCCATGCTCTAGGAAGCTGTAATCTAGGGAGCTGTTATCACCCCGTGACCCTCTTTGCCTTCCTTTAAGACTCACTGCTGCTTCTCCTACGTCCCCAAGCTGAGAGGGAAGGGCTTCTTCCGCTCGCTGTCATTCGCAAAGCCTTGCATTTCCTGCGCCCCGTTGTTTCCTTTGCTTTTCAGCTGCCAAGCCCCTGTCTGAGAACAGTTGTCTCAAGAACCCTGCTAAGTGGTAGTGTTTACGTCCCACAATCCTTCACAGGAGTCAGGTACCCTCCTTGTTTCCCAGTGCTCTTTCTGCCATTTCCTTTGAGCCCCAGAAGTCCCTGTCTGCTTCTCCTTACCCAGGACCATACCGCTTCCTCTTCCCTCTTCCTCATATCTCCTCCCGCCACTAACTTGCTTGACTCCTGGGTCCTCTGCTCATTTGTTGGCGATGCCAGCCTTGCTTTCATTGCCACTCCTGTCTGGCTTGCTTTGTTGAAGTCATCCTGGGAGCTTTCAGAAGCAAAGATCCCAGTAGAAATTATATTCGGATTGGTTGACGGTGTGTGCGGTCTGGATGCTGATGTTGAATCCTCTAGAGGAGCCACCGTGGAGAACCCTGGTGCAGGCAAGGCTTTTGTTCTCAGTCCCCTGTCTTCCTCTAAGTGTTGTATCTCATGTGCTTTTTGGTCCTTCACTCCTGATTCTGTACATCAGAGCAGCCTACTTCTGATAGCTGAGACCCAACCCCTCCATTGCTGAACTTTCACATGCCTGGCTCTGTATGCACACCGTCTTTCTAGATCATTCCCTTGAGTACTTCAGTCTGTTAGTCCTGCCATCTGCCACTGTCTTTCCTCCTTACTGGGTCTTCACTTCTCTCTTACCAGGAAGTCCATCATGTACCCGTAGCCCTCTCTGATATGTGTCCAGGGCCAAGGGGGTGAGGAGAATTATATGACCACCTGCTGATCCCTAGCCTAAGTTCCCAATCACGTCCCTCCTTTGCATCTCTTGCCACTGGCTTGGTCTACCCTATATTCTGCTTAAAACACAACCCGATTCAAAGCCAACTTTGCTGTCTCCTTGGCTGCATATGCAGAGCTAGATGCAATTGAAGGAAAAAAAAAACATTCCAACAGTGGTCTGGCCTCACTTTAAATCTCCGATTCCTTCTGTCACGTGGGCTCTCAACATTGAGAGCCATTCTGGTTTCCCTCGTGTGTTTACTTCCCCACTCTCCTAAGTGATAATTGCACGCCACCTGCTCTCTCTGCAAACATCCTCCCCCAGCCTCCATCAGCTTCTGGCCTTGCTTCTCCATCCCCTATAAAAAGACAGTCAAAGGAGAACTTCCGTTTGCCGGGCTCAGCGTTGAACCTGTTACTCACCCTTCTGTCTTAGCAAAGGCCAGCCCCTCTCAGGGCTCAGGCACATGGCCCTCTCTCTTATGTCTTCCATGTTCTCTCTCCTCTGGTCCTTTCCCACCAGCCTGTGAAGAATGCTGTTAGGGAAACTAATTTTGGTCTATCTTCTTCCTTCATCTTTCTGTTTCTTACAACCTTTGCCCACCACTCTGTCCTTTGGTAGCGGAGGACTTGATTGAACTATATTTACTATCTCTAGTTTCTCCTCCATCTCTCTATGGTACCTACTCTCCCCCTCACTGCGCGTATTAAGACCGCCAGACATCAATGCACTGCAGAAGCCTGCTGTCAGTTTCCTCCTTTGCTGCTTCCTGTCCATTCTCGGTTCCCATACAGGATGTAACATCAGGACGGAGTCCCTGAATTCCTGTTTACCTTCCTTAGCGAGGTCTTCTCACTCCACCTGCCAGCTGCTGACTCCCAGTTCTGCATGTTTATCCCAGCATGTTCTGCAACTCCAGACTCCATGTTCTATTGCCTTCCTGCCTAGCAGGCACCGCTCAGACTTGTGTCTAAAACGGAACCTCTGGCCTCTGCAACCTGTCTTCCTCCATCTTCAGTTGCCAACCCGAGCCTTCCCTTCTGATTCCTCATTCGCTTTATTTTGCTTTGCTTTGTTCTGTTTAATGTACTAGGGGTTGAACCCAGGATCTTACAAGCCTTATGCAAGCTAGCCACTCCCACCCCTAACTTTCCCTTTTTGGTTGTTGTTTGATTGACTTGTGGCCTTTTTGTTTTTAGAGGCAGGGCCTCATGTAGCCCAGTCCTCCTCAAACTCAGTATGTAGTCAAAGAAGACTTTGAACTCCTGATACTCCTGTCTCAACCTCCTAAGTGCCAGGATTGCAGACACTGCCGTGCCCAGTTCTGACTCCTCATTCTGGACGCTGGCTTAGTCTAATGGCCCCTCATGCTCCACTCTTCACGAGCCACTACTCTTACTGTATTTACATCACCGCCTCCTCTCTGGTCTCAGTGCATCCACCCTTAATAACACTTTAAACTGGGTGGTGGTGGCACACGCCTTTAATCCCAGCACTTGGGAGACAGAGGCAGGCCGATCTCTTGAGTTCAGGGCCAGTTCCAGACATCCAGAGCTACAGAAAGAAACCTGTCTCAAGACTAATAAAATAATAATAGTAATAACAATAATAATCACACTCTTAGCATCATCCAATCAAATCATGAAATTCTTCCACCCTGAACCCTCATAGGTTCCCTGTCTCAGCGACCCCTCAGTGGCCTTGAGTGTCCTGTATAGACTGATCAGCTTTCCCCACAGCTCTACCCACTGCCCACTCTACTTGGTTAGCTCGTCTACCCTTCCCATGGTTCACCTCACTACCTGGCAAGCTGTTTCATCTCCCTCAGGTGCTTAGTCAAATGCCACCTTCTTAATGGGACCTTCCTGGGGCACTCTGTCTGTAACTCTGTTCCCTTTCCTCATATCCAGCCCTACATTTTCTCTTTTTTTTTCTCTGTAGTTGTTCTTTCATTTTTACCACCTAGTCACACTGTTTTATCTGCTTGTCTTCCTCTACTAGTACTTAAAGTGGCGGGTTACTGTTTCATCACCAGAGCCTATGATTTGATATGATATGATATGATATGATATGATATGATATGATATGATATTGAAAGACTCCCGTGGGCGTCTTCCTTCGGGAGAGACCCCGTGCCCAAAGATCAGTCGAAAACACGCAGCCGGATGCAAACAGCAAGAGGTTTATTGGATACGCAGGTACCTGGGGCGACAAGTCTCTCGGAGGACTTGCGCGCCCACAGGTTGGGGGTGAGGGGTTCTTATAGGAGAGCAAAAAGCGAGGTTTACAGAAGCAAGATGCAGGGTGGTAAATTCTTAACCTAAATAACAATGAGGGGACTATTCAGCGGTTTACTGTTCCTCCTATCCTGCCCCCCTTTCCTGGCTGGCGACTAGATATCTGATTGCACAGCCCCTGACTCGTGACGGCCCCGCTCTATACGTGACTCAGGCCTCGCAATCCTCTCTTCATCCCTTGAAGTCTTTGTTCCTACTCATGCCAGTCCATAAATCTCCTGTCCTGCAGCCAGATAAGGCTGTCCTTGCTCTAATCTCAGGTGTCTTTGCTTAGCATTCCGGAGGCCCTGAGCTTGTTATTTGTTCAGCATTCCGGAGGCCCTGAGCTTGTTATTTGTGAATCCTTTGCAAAACGGTATAACTGTGGCTAAAACGAGTTGGGGTCCTTCAATATGATATGATATGATATGAATTATGTCTAATTCATGAGTGGATAAGCAAACTCATGGGAGAAGCAAGATTGAATGTGCCTGGTCAGTGGTACCTCTGGATCATCTCTCTGAAGACGGCATGGCACATATGTTGTGCTGATAGGTTTGGCAGGACAAATTGCTCCCTACCAAATTCTTAACTTGATAGAATTTTGGATTAATTATTGTATTAAAAGACTTTCCCCAGCCCCTTCTCCCCAGGGGAATGGGAAAAAATATATAGCTCAATAAAAACAATATTTTTTTATTATATAAAAAATAATTTTTTAAAAAGACTTTTTTTTAGAGCCAGACGGTGGTGGCGCACACCTTGAATTCCAGCACTCAGGGGGCAGAGGCAGGTAAATCTCTGAGTTTGAGGCCAGCCTTGTCTACAGAGTGAGTTCTAGGACAGCCAAGATTACACAGAGAAACTCTGTCTCAAAAAACAAATAACAAAAAACAACAACAACAAAAAACCAAAATCAAGTTGTTGTTGTTTTTAAGGAATGGGCATGATTCGTTTTATCTTTTAGTAGCTATTTAACAGTATTCATATTTTAGTAGCTATATAACTTCTTCATGCCTGGCTTTGTGCCAGTATGGCTGAGGAAACCTAATGTGTACATGCTTAGGGATTAATGTTTAACAGAGAAGCCAAAAGAACATGCAGACCCACTGGTACTGTTGCTGTCGACAGTGACTGCAGTTTTAAAACCACATCTCTGGAGTTAAAATTTAAATCAGGTAGAGTCGTTGCATCTGCAGATGCAATTGCATTTAGTGGCACAGGGTCAGGCGGAGAAAAGCCATGCTGGCATACAGGCTGACATTCAGCAGAGAGGCTGTGATGTGGCTAGCTTAACCTATCTTCCCCTGACTCGGTGAGTCCTGAGAGCCTGTTAGCTCTGAGTTCTCTCGATGAAACATCTCCAGGATCTGAAATTCTCCAGTCCACACTTTCCCTGTCCATTGCACCTCAGATAGCTTGTGGCTTCCCCTGTGGCGGTTTCCAGCCTGTTTGCTGACAGATACTTTATTTTCTTTTGGAGTTTCCGCTTTTTCCTTAGCGCTATTGTGTGGCAAATTGCAAAAAAAAAAAAAAAAAAGCCCCTTTCCTGGGGGCTTTGATTCTCTTTTTTCCTTTTTTAGCTGTCTACCCACTTTATTTTCTTACCGCACCACGCCCCCCCCCCCCGCTCCGGGGGGGGGGGATCAGTCCTTCTTGGCCGCCGCCTTCCTCATGGCGGCCAGCACGTTGCTCAGCTACTCCCGCTTCCTCTTGGCACGTATGTGCGTGCCCACCCGCTTCTTGATGAACTTGAGCGCGGGCTTGTCTTTGGACACCTTGAGCAGCTCCATGGCGCACCGCTCGTAGGGCGCGAAGCCGCACACCTCCCGGATCATGTCCCGCACGAACTTGGTGTGCTTTGTGAGGCGCCCGCACCGCAGGCTGTGCCTCGGCTGGCTCACGTTCTTTGTCACCTTGTGGCCCTTGTTGAGGCCCACGGCCATGGGGTAGCGCAGGGCCATGGCTGCGGGACGACACGGCAGCTGACACCCGGCCCTCGGGCCCCCCCCTGCCCGCCCGCTCCCGACGCGCTCCGCCGCCCGGGAACCCCGATGGCGGCGGATGCCCCTGTATATCCATTTTAACCAAATCTCTTGGAAATGACCTCCCTCTGATTCTTCACTCCAGATTCTGTGCTCGTGGTGAAGGCACGGCAGCCAAAGCCCTTCTTTGCCGCGGGGAACACGTTTGAGATGACTTGCAAAGTGTCTTCCAAGAATATTAAGTCACCGCGCTACTCTGTGCTCATCACGGCTGAGAAGCCTGTTGGGGACCTCTCCAGTCCCAACGAAACCAAGTACATCATCTCCCTGGACCAGGACTCTGTGGTGAAGCTGGAGAACTGGACAGACGCATCGCGGGTGGACGGCGTGGTGTTAGAGAAGGTTCAAGAGGATGAGTTTCGATACCGAATGTACCAAACTCAGGTCTCTGACGCAGGGCTGTACCGCTGCGTGGTGACAGCCTGGTCTCCTATTGGGGGTAGCTTGTGGCGAGAAGCGGCGACTAGTCTCTCCAATCCCATTGAGATTGACTTCCAAACCTCAGGTGAGCACAGAACTGAACTCCATGACGCCACAGATTGAGCTGGGAGACAAGCCCAATATTTTAATCAAGGGCCCTTTTATTTATTTGTTTGTCTTTGGGTATGTGTGAGTGGTATGTGAATGTGATATATGTGTGTGGTTTTATGTGCACATGTGTGCTTGGAAGGCAGAGGAGGGCGTCAGGTGTCTGGTTCTGTCACTCTGTGTTCCTCTGAAACGCTTCCCCACTGAGCCCGGAGCAGGCCTGATAGCGAGACAGCCAGGGATCCTTGTCTCCCCACCACCCACAACTTACACACAGTGCTGGGGTCACTCGGGTCCTCATTTATAGGCAGCGACCACTCTTACAAATCGTGCGGTCTCCCAAGCCCTTGTCCTTGCCTTTTCAAATAGCTTGTGAAGCGGAAGTCATATGCTGTTTAGTTTATCCCTGCCAGGTCCATAACTCTGAGGCTGTTCATACACTCACAGGGTTGTGTGACCAGCAGTCACCAGAGACAATTATAGAACATTTCCTATGGCACCCAGATGAAACTCAGACCCTTCACCCACAGTGTCCAGCCTGCCACCCCGCAGTGACCCCTCTGCTTTCTCCGTATGTGGAGTTTCCTGCGCTGTGTTCTTGGCACATATGTCACCGTAGTGTCTGAGCAGGGTTTTCAAGTATCCCCCATGTTGCAGCCTGCTTTCCTTCACTTCATCCTTGTGATCAGGGACTAGTCCATTACACTGTCAGGCCACACCTTATCATCTCATCAGATGATGGACGAGTCGGGTCTGTCCACTTCCCCACTGGTATACGTCTGTCTAAAACACGCATGTGCAAGTTTTTATTTCTTTTGTTTTGGTTGTTTGGAAATGTATGGTTTTATTTTAAAAAAAAGACCAGAACTGATACTTCAGTCTTTGAGGAACATAGTGGAGAGAAAAGCACATGCCTTGTCGAAATGGATGGTTCAGAATGGGAGCCTGAATCCAGTCGTTTCGTGGCTTCCAACTGGAGGACTCTATGTGGTGACAGCAGCTCTGGGTCCGGCCTCTCAGGAGTGATTCCACCCTGGCATGGACCCTCAGCCTTACTGCTCCCCTGAGTCGTGGATTGGAAACACTTCCTGTAATAGGCGTCACCAGAGTTACTGTGGTGCTGTGTATTGGCGACTCTGCCAAGTTTGTTGACAACTGTTATTCATGATATTTACCTACTCAGAAATGACTTTATCCTTAGCAACTAGAATAGCATCGTGTTGTAAGGCAGAAAAGCCCACGTTTCTGGACTGCATGGCTGCAAGGTGGATGTTCACAAGTGGAAATATTTCACACTTACGTGTGACTCACTAGGACCTGGCACACCTTCTGTGTGGCTTTCAGTAGGAAGATGGCTGTTAAAGCTTCAAATTCCCAGTCTCCGTTAGATGATCCCTGTGAAGAACTGTCTATGTTCTTCAATGTTAGACTAGCAGGTCTCACTAGGCCACCCTGCATGCTAGTTAGGGAGTTTTTGGGTTTTCTGTTTTGTTTTGTTTTTTAGTTCGGAATTTTGAATGCATATACTTTTATACTCATTTACAAAAAAAAAATCTGTCATTAACTGAATCAATATAACAAATGCAAGATGCTCTAATTGATTATTATTATTGGGGGCAGAGAGATGGCTCAGTGGTTAAAAGCACATAACTATTCTGGGACCCTAGTGTGGTTCCCAGCACCCATGTTGAGCACCTCACACCTACCTGTAACTCCAGCTCCAGGGACTCAATACCCTTTTCTGGCTTTCCTGGGCGGTTGCAGTCATGTGCACACACCTAAACAAACAAAACTAAAATGTATTCTTTTTAGCCAGGCGGTGGTCATGCATCCCTTTAATCCCAGCACTCAAGAGGCAGAGGCAGGCAGATCTCTGTGAGTTTGAGGCCAGCCTGGTCTACAAGAGCTAGTTCCAGGACAACTAGGGCTGTTACACAGAGAAACTCTGTCTCAAAAAACCAAAAATAAATAAATAAATAAATAAAATGTATCTTTTTGAAAAAGAGATTGTTAAATCGCTCACATTTGTTTATAGGTAGATCAGAATCCACCTGCCTCTGCCTCGGGAATTCTCCACACTTGTCCCTTGTTGGGCATTTTTGTCAGGAAAAGCACTTATCCATATTTGTGTTTTGTTGAGATGATTACATGATTTTGTCCTTTTTTGTATGTTTCTGTCTTACTCTCTGCTATAGTCACTTCTGTCTTATTTTACATTTGTTATTTGATCATTCTTTCGTTTATGTGTAAGGGGGAGATATAAAATCCCTCATATATATTTCTGTGTTAGGGATAGAGATTGAGTCTATTAATTCTTTAAATCTCAGTCTGGCAGGTAGTACTCTCTTTACTTCCAGGTTGAATAGATCGCCTAAAAACTATATTGTCTGCGGAATTGTCACAGATTGTCCCCATCTTAGTTAGAAGTTGCCACCTGTTTGACCAGCCTAGAACTAGAGCCCCAGATTGTCCCCCAGTAAACAACTGAATTGATCATGAAGAGCCTTCATTTCTACCCATCAGCACTCTGCCTTGAGACCCATGACAAAGAAGGCTTCCCTGGCTCCACCATCCTATCACCCCATCCCCAGTCTTGTTCTCTTGTTAGTGGGGTCTGAGTTTCCCAGGGGAAATCTACTAGATCATGACTTTTACTGACCTAGGTATCAGGGTTGAAATGAGATTTAAGCGTGATGATGTAGGAGTTATCCTTTTAAAAGAGTAGTAATTGTTTTCTTTTTAGTGTAGAAATGTGTAAATAGAGGGAAAGCGCTAAGACATTAAGAGCCCTGAGCACTCTTTCTGAGGACCTGGGATCAATTCCTAGTGCCCACATTGCAGTTCACAACTGTGTGCATATATACGACTCCAGTCCCAGGGGATCTGACGCCCTTTTCTGGCCTCCGTGGGAATAACACATGTGGTACTCAGACACACACACAGGCAAAATGGGCATACACTTAGAATAAAAATAATGATTAAAAATTTAAAATAGATCCATGTTGCAGAAAGTAGAGCACTCACACCCCCACTCTCACCCTGCCCTACGAAACACTAATTTAGGTTGTTCATCTTCCTAGAATTTTTCCTCTGGTGTTATCTTCATGATTTGGAAGTCTTGGCTATAGATAAAATTCTATGACCCACTTCTTCCCCCTTTAATGTCAGATGATCATTTGTCCTGTTACAGTAGACACTGTAAGTAAGTGCTAGGTAGACACTGGCCCGGGGCTGCAGAGAGTAACATCACTTAGCCGTGACACCCCCCGGCTGGAGGAGCAGATGGGTTGCAGTGTTTGCTTGCACAGAGAAGCTGCCCTTCGGGCCTTTTCCTAGTGGGAATGGACCGTGGTTGTGTCAGTGTTTGTATTTAAAACCTAAGTGGTCCCTATACTCTTAGCTGACTGGGAATCCAGGGACCCCTAGCGACTCTGGCTGCTCACTGAATTCTCAAGTCATAGTCTGTGGTCTGCAGAGTTAACCAGACAAATTCCCTCACAAAACAGCTTTGCCACAAAACTTGACCATAATAAAAATATTTCGAAATATCCCACTATTCTGGGATAATGACCATATTAACATTGAGCTGTTGATTTCATCAGAAGGAAATCCACTCCTCTCAAGTTGTTTGCCACAATGAAGGCCTTCTTCCCCAGCCCTGTCTGCACTGTGAGACAGAGCACAGACCCTCTCACCAGCCCTCCCTTGGTTCCCACGGCAGCCACCAGTAGGGGAATAGGAGTTATGACTTGTGACCGACCCAGAAGGCATTTGGGGTTTTCTTTGGAAATATAAAGACAAGTGACGTTTGTTCAAATTAGAAAAAAAATCATTGTTTTTTAATAATGTTTCATTATTTCATTGTTTCAAATAAGAAAAATACATAAATCAACTGAGCGTTTCGGCGTTTGGTCACTTGGGGTTTTCTTAGAAGGGGCCTGAATACTTTCAAAGAAAGCCCTTAGCAGAGTCCTTTATTACAATCAAGTTTCTAATCTACGGGAAAAGTATAACCTCCTTGTTCACTGCGGCCACTGAACCAACAGAAACAACATTCTCAGTCATTTACATGTAACTGGTTCAGAGCAGTAAGGCTGGTCCTGAACTCCACACAATTGTGGGCAGAGCCGGGGGGGGGGGCAGAGCAGGGGCAGGGCTGAGGCATCTGGTGGAGGTGATGTCTCCTGGGCCGGCTGTCCTGCCATGTTCTCTGCCCCTCTGGAGTTTAGTCCCTGGGTCTCCCTAACACACCTATCTCTGTATCCACCCTTTCTTTACCCTTCTTCTGGGGACTACATGGATTATTCATATCCTTAGTGCTAGGAAAGCAATTTCATGACTTCTTATTAGTCATCAAACTGAAGTGAAAATCCAGCCAGAGTCATTTCAGCTCATTGCCTCATGGCGGCGTGACCTTTCACACACTCTCATGAGCCAGTAGGTTTTTTATGGAGGCTTTAAAACACACTTTGGGGTCCATTTTCCTTGCCAGTAATCTGAACAAGGAAACAGTAATGTCCCTATTTCTCAAGTAAGCTCTACCTCTGCTTCCCAGGCCGTCTGTCTATGCTCTGCTGAAAATCCCAAGTAGAATCCCACAGCACTGATATTCTAGAACATTCTTTCAGTTTTTCTTATTCCTAGATTTTAGAAGGTGGAATAATAAAGTTAAGCATTAAGCTGTTGGGATCAGTTTGACTTGAGCTGTGAAATACCTGTATAATCTAAGGGGAATCAGAGATGGGTTCAAAGTAATCATTAGGCGCTGTATTCTTGCGGTGAGGGGAGAGCTCAGTGGAGGCTGAGATATAGTTTTAGTTTTGCAGCAAAGTTGACCCAGAAGTATATGCACCCTGCCTGCCCCAACTTGGCTGGACTTTTAGGACTCTCCACGCTGTCTGTTTCTCCTAAAATTCTAGCATTCTCTCAGTGCCCCTCCCTATATTTTATGTAAACATTGTCATTGTTGGGGGCTGGTCTGTCTCCTAACTGGGTTTCAGCCCTTTAACTCTGGGGTCTTTGTCCCCATCAGTACTGCAGAACATGCTAAGGCCAGTCAACCAACTGGGACCAAAAGGGTTGGGTCCCTGACCCCTGACCCTCTGGTCTCTCACCCTCCCTGGCTAGTTTGGACTACACTGAACCCGGAACCCACCTAAGCTTCCCAGCTGCGAGGTGAACGTATCCTACCAAAGGAAGCTGTGGGCATCAGGCAGAGAAGGTCAGTTCAGAGTTCGTCCAGACCGAGTTCAGCTAGGTGTGCCCGATGCAAGTGTCTCTGGGTGGAGAAAAGAGATCTTCGAATACCTGCTCTACGATGTCCCTAGACCAGTTCCCAGGAAAGCGAACCACATTTAGATGCTACTGGAGCTTCAGGAATGGAAGTTGAACTTGTGTGAAAGAGACTAATGCGACTTAAACTCCACTCTCTTCCAGGTCCCATATTTAATGCCTCTGTGCATTCGGACACGCCGTCAGTCACCCGGGGAGAGCTCATCCAACTCTTCTGTATTGTCACGCTGGAAGGAGCCGTGCTGGACCCAGGTACCCCCCTCCATTCTTCCCCCTCCTCCAGATGCTTTTGGTGAATGTTTGTCATTCTCACTGTCTCTCGGGTGTAGGGACGAGGGTTTGGACTGTCTGTTGATCTCTACTTGCCTTTCTTAGGTGGGTAGGATCTCCGTTGCTACGATGAAGAACCATGACCCAAAAGCAAGTTGGGGAAGAAAGGGTTTATTTGGCTTACACTTCCACACTGTAGTCCTTCATTGAAGGAAGGCAGGGCGGAATTCAAACAGAGCAGAAACTATGGAGGGGTGCTGCTTACTGGCTTGTTCCTCATGGCTTGCTCAGCCTGCTTTCTTATAGAGCCTAGGGGTGGCGCCACCCCCAGCAGACTGGGCCCTCCTGCATCAATCACTAATTAAGAAAATATCTCACTGCTGTATCTTATGGAGGCATTTTCTCAGTAGGGGTTCCCTCCTCTCAGATAACTCTAGCTGTGTCAAGTTGACAAAGACTAGCCAGGACCCACTGGCTTGGTTCTGTGAGACCATTCACTGCTGTGAGGTTTGAAAATACTTCTGGGGCAATCAGTCGATCTCTTCCTGGTTTGTTGTGGCCTAGTTAGAGTACTGCTCACAGGGCCCTCCTTCTATATATTATTCATTCATTGTTTCTGAGCTCCTTCCATACACAAGAGCAGCTGTAGATGCGGGGAACAGAGCAGTGAATATGTTCGAGGCCTGCCCCAGAGAGCTTGCAGCCTAGTTAAGGACACCCATGAAAAAATACAGACCAGAGGAAAAATGACAGCATTTAGGACTTGTAGGATAGCTTCATAGTGCCCCTTCTCCCATCGTACTGGAGATGGAATCTTGCGCAACGTCCCCAGCTCTATGAACCTCTTGAGAGAAAAGATTAACCTTGTCGACAGATGCCTCAGAACTGTGGGCCCATTCCTCAGACAGTTTCTGCTTGGTGCATTCTCAGCCAGGAGACATCCCTTGCTCATTGATTCTTCTGGTTTTGAAGGAGCATTAAAGGCATTAGGGTGTTGGCCCTGTTGCTGAGCAGGACTGTACCCAGCTTTGCCTTTTCTCAAAGGTTCTGTGAAGAGCCTAGCCTGCCTTTATCCCTTTCACCCGATGTGACCCTGACACTGTCTTGCTCCACCCCGTTCCTAACAAAGTCATGCGCTTTAGAGCAGTCAAATTGTCTGAGTTCTCGTGTGTTTCTGTGTATATACCCTTGGAAGTATGGCCCTGGGGGCAGGCAGGCCGGTTTTGTTCTCTGTGAAGGGGTAGGGTTGATACACAGGGATGGTGGCCCATCCAGGGTCATCGGCTGGGTAGCCACCACCGTCAGGATGAATGCTGGCTCCCTCAGGACTACTGCTCAAATGTTCAGGTGGCTACCAGCTCGTGATCTACATATGCTTCCTAGGAAGGACCCAGTAGGAAGTAGTTTGCTCAGCTCTGCCTCAGACACAGGCCAGCAGCAGTGGGGGGCAATACGAGCAAACAAGCGTGACTGAGGAGCAGGAAGTCTGTTCATCAGAACAAGGTAGGCTCCATCTTGTTCCAAATCCATTGGTACGGTACCAATGTTTGCTCTAAGCTTTAGAGGTGAGAGAAAGGAATGTGTAGAAGGAAAGGGAAAGAAAGAGCCCTCCCATCCCCACCACGCACCCATGCACACCCAGAGCTGCTGTGCTTCTTCCTGGGGGTGAAGTCTGAGGAGACTGGGCTCTGAGCAAGTGGGCAGCCACTGCTATGCTGAAGTCGGGGAACGGGAAGACACAAAGGTACCTGTGGAAGCGGAAAGGAAGGCAAAGATAGAAAAGATTGCCTGGGAAAAGCAAGCAAAACCCCCTTAAAAGTTTGCATAGAGCAATGCTGTTTCAGAACTCGTTTATGATATATTCAGAAACACCCCCCCCCATGTTCCTTCTCAGCTAATTAATAGGTCGCCGGTTGCGCCTTTCACGAAATGCTCATTTCTCCAGTGTAATTGCAAAAGCTATAGGTAGCTGTTCCAGAACTTTGCGCTCTTGGTCTGTGTGGGTGGAAGATTCTGAATAATTAAACACAAATTGTAATTTCTTTCTTTTTTTTTTTGCCTTTTTTTTCATTCATCCTATGGGCTCTGAGAGGGAAATCTCTGTGGGAAAGTTGCATAAGTGGGCCAAGAGCCAAGACACTCCTGTACCCCACGGCAGGGCAGCCAGGAGCAGCCAAGCGTGGGTGGCAGCATGGTCAGGCTCTGAAGCAAAACTGAGGCCAGTGTGAGTCATGGGGGGTTTCTCCAGAGTGTGCTGTGAACCCCAGCAACTGAGCCAATGGTACTTGGAGCTGTGGGTCTTCAAGGAGCTGGATTTTCATATCCTTGGTGCTCAGTCATCGTCCAGAGGCTGAGTGGCTGGAGTTAATGGTGACTTGGAGCCTCCGTAAGGCCCTTATAGCAAGTAAGGTGGCTCTAGAGAGGTACAGTTTGAGAGTGTCAGCATCTAGTACCTGCACCAGTGTGTGCAGTGAGAGGAGGTGGCACAGCATGGCAGCTGTCCACTTGAAGGACCCACAGCCTTGACAACAGGTAGACAGCCCAAGCCCTTCCTCCAAGCAGCACCTACTTGTCCGGCCACATATGGCAATGAGGGCCATCACTTTAGAAAGCACTCACTGTGGTCCAGGCGTGATTTTGCAGTATTTGCCCATGCTGTTAGTAGCATTTTTATTTTTGTTTATTTTTTATATGTATGCCTGTGTGTGTCTGTACACAAGTGTGTGTGTGTGTGTCTGTCTGTCTGTCTGTCTGTCTGTCTGTCTGTCTGTCTGTCTATGGAGGCCAGAAGAGAGTGTCAATCCCCTTGGAGTTGGAGTGACAAGCAATTGTGAGCCACCTGACGTAGGTGCTGGGAACTGAACCTTGCTCCTCTGCAAGAGCAGTAAGTGCTCTTAACTGCTGAGCTATCTTTCCAGACCCCTATCAATTGCACTTTAGCTAAGTTGCAATGAACTAACGTGGCTTGTTCAGGTCATGTGGCCAGTAGGTCCTGGGGTTCTAGCCCAGGCTAGCTCTCCCTGCCATCCTATGATGCACAGTGGGGAATGAAGTAAAGGGAAGACCTCTATCCTTGTTTTAGTAGCCATTCTAGGCTTGCGCATGGCAGCAGAGTTTCCATGGGTAGGAAAGCCCACTGTGCCCTGGCACTGAGTGGAAATCGCAACACTCACCCCAATCCTGCCAAGCTGGTCTCAGAGACTTACACACGGTGAACTGTTTGTGCTGAAGTACAGAAGGGTGGGCGAGAGATGCTCTGCCCCAGCAGTGAGCTGAGAAGGAGTCACCATTTGGACATGTTAGGAAACTCCTGCTGTTAGTTCCGCCCATTCTGTCTTGCACAGGTCTGGATAACATTGTCTGCCTTATGATGTGTTTTCCAACATTATTGGTACACTTTCACTGAATGGATGAGTGTTGTTGTTGTTGTTCAGCGAAAACTGGCATAAAAAGTCCCGAGCCAGGGGGGTAATGTAGTTTGCCAGCAGAGTGTTTGCCCAGCACAGCCCTGGGTTCAATACTCAGTGAGTTTTTTGAGTTTTTTTTGTTTGTTTGAAAAAGGAATTTTGTCAAGGAGATTTAAGATGTAATTGTGTGTATGACCCACAGTCCTCACATGGCCTCTGGATGGGTTTCCCAGCCAAACAGCTGGTGTTGGCTGGTACTGTCCAGGGGGGTCTGGGTTAGCATGCGGCCTCAGTTTCCACATTCTCTGTGTCTGCCCCACCTTAGTTCACTGAGACTGTTAGAATCTCAGTTTGATTCACCAACTTTACTCTCAAGGACTATTAACTCTGTTCAATTTTCTCAGCTTGATTTTTTTTCCCCTCTTGTTCTGAGCTTAAACACTTCTGCAAGGGGAAGGGGGCGGGGAACCAAAGAGAACAAGCCAATTCAAATTGTCTACAGCTTTAAGTTGGGTACATTTTGTTTTAAATGTACAATCTGTTCTTTCAACCCTACGGTCTTTCCAGTCTCCGGTTTTTCTACTCGAAGAGCCCAGGGACCCTGCACATCATGCCTAGACTTGACACACAGGACTGTCTATCCGTGGGGGCAAAGTGACCCCTGTTCTTCTTCCCGTTGTTCCTTATAGTGATGGTCAAGTTGGACACTTTGTCACAGGCTCACACACTGCTTCCTGTGGTTGTGTGGCCTTGCCCCAGGGGTGACTGTGACAGGTCATCACAGGCTGCCTGAGCCAGCCTGAAATAAGGGTTACAGTTATGGAGAGTGTGTCCATCACTTCTGCTCATACCCTGACCTCGGTGCTTTGCTTGGTGACCCACAGACGACATGGCTTTCGACGTATCCTGGTTTGCAGTACACTCCTTTGGTTTGGACAAAGCTCCCGTCCTTCTGTCCTCCCTGGACCGGAAGGGAGTCGTGACTACAGGCCTGAGGGATTGGAAGAGTACTCTCAGTCTGGAGCGAGTGAGCGTGCTGGAATTCTTGCTGCAAGTGCATGGCTCTGAGGACCAGGACTTTGGCAACTACTACTGTTCTGTGACTCCATGGGTGAAGTCACCAACAGGTTCCTGGCAGAGGGAGGCCGAGATCCACTCCAGGCCTATCTTTATAACTGTGAAGATGGACGGTGAGCTCCCGCGCCGAGTGGCTGAATTATCTCCTCCTTGCGTTTTGCTACAGCACATAGAATCCAGGTTTCCATAGTTTGGTGCAGCTTGTTTTATATTTTATGCAGTTTTGCATGTTGCAAGCTTTGCAATCCGGGCCTGGTGACACCCCTGGAAAAGGATTGTGGGAGCCTTGGCCCTTCTGTGGTCTGTGGAAACCCATTTCACTGTATCCTAAGGTCGGCATGGCTTCTGCCATGTGGGGGCGGAGAGGCCTCCAGGAGAGGTGTAGACTAAAGACCACCTACTCTAGCCCACCCGCTGCTTTTTCTTTTGGAGATGTGATCTCCTGTGGCTCAAATTCACTGTCTAGCCCAAGACTGGCCTCGAACTCGTGATCTTTCCACTTGAGCTTCCCATCGCATACTGTTTTACTTCTTGAAAAAGAAAGGCTCCCCCAGAGCCACTAGCACAGAGTGGGAACCTCTTGGAACCCCAAGATGGGAGAGTGTCTCTTAGCTTTACTGACCCATAGCAGATCCACCCCGTCCGCACCAACCTAACCGATCAGATCTCTGCCCCTTGAGCACCTCAGAGCTGAACACTTGTCCCTTTATTCCCAAGAAACATGTCTGCCCTGTGAAAGCTTCAGAAAGTTACGCCATTTGGAACAACTCCATGGAGAGAATTGGTTCCAGATGCTCCAAGGGTCAGGAGAAGCCTGGACCAAGAGTGTGTTTCCCTAGCAGCAAGTCAGTTTGAGGAGAGGGGCCATCCCACTCCAGCTCCTCCAGGTCATTGAGTCTTTCTGTTGAGTGACCTTTCCTAGGAGGCCCACTTCTAGTCACCACGGATGAAAGCAATGACTAACCAAAGAAGCAGTGTCACCCAAGTCCGCTTGGTGACTCCGTGACTTTATTAGTGGTACAGGAGTATGGGCAGCATACAGGCAGCTGTACCACTGAAGAAGAGTCATGTCCCATTCCCCCCATCCCCACCACACACACACCAGTAATTACCAGCCACTCTATATTGGAGTAGAGGGCCTCGTGAGCCGCTCCTCCACTCTCCCCCATAAGGAAGTGTTAGTAAACCTGTCTGATAGAAGCCCTCGCGCAGGTAAACAGAGCCAGTCTGACTTGAAGGTGGGGACAGCCATGCCCTGCCTGGAGCACAGAGCGCCACCCACGATACTTTCTGGTCCACATCCTGAAAAACTGTGACAGTAGTCTCCCATGGGGCTGTTATGAAAATTAGATCATCCCAAACATTAAGGACCTGAATGGAGGGAGGCAGAATCTACGCGAAATGCTGGGGCTTGCTGGGAGGGAAGATGGCGCTCCTGGGGTGGGATCTAAACTCCTGTCATCTCTGCCTCATTTGCATCTCAACTCCGCTTGAAGTAACTCCATATGAAAATCCAGATTTACCAAACAAGGAAGGGAGTGATTATTCACTTTGCTCGATAATTTACTATAGTGTTACTTAAAATAGCATCTTTAGTACACTTCAGTTATTCGATGCATAGAATTGATTTATTCAGGTTTTTTTTTTCCTTTAAGGATGCATCTGCTGCTCAATGTGCGGTGCCCTTATACTGACTTTTAGAATCAATCTCCTGCCAAAACCCTAAAAAGAAGTTGACATTCAAAGGCATCAAGTAAAATCTCTTTACCGTGCCCCCCACACACGCCCAGCTCTGAAGAGCTGAGTGGGGGGCATGGGCTCATTTCTTCAATATAGCTGGACTACTCCTTTCTGAATCCCGTGCCAGGTGCAGGATCTGGGGAGCTCTGGTCTCTGCAGAGACCCTGAGTAGGAGTGGGGGATATAAACAGGGTAGGGAGGGAGGGGGCCAGTGTTCCCAGCGCTCTCCCTCTCAGCACTAACCCTTTCTCTCTCTCGTGCCCAGTGCTGAATGCCTTCAAGTACCCGCTGCTGATCGGCGTGGGCCTGTCCACAGTCATCGGACTCCTGTCCTGCCTCATCGGATACTGCAGTTCCCACTGGTGCTGTAAGAAGGAGGTGCGGGAGACGCGTCGGGAGCGCCGCCGGCTCATGTCCATGGAGATGGATTAAGCAGCGGAGATGGAAGGACAGAGGAACAGTGTAGGAATGGCGGGGGTGAGAAGAGGACCAGTAATACTTTACAACCAAGTGTGTTACACGAAATCCAGTCCTCTCTAATCTCAGGTGGGACTTGGCGCTCTCTCTTTTCTGCATGTCAAGTTCTGAGCGCGGACATGTTTACCAGCACACGGCTCTTCTTCCCACAGCACTTTCTGATACGTAACAATCGAGTGTGTGTTTCCCCAGCTGCAGCTTTTCAACGGTTAACCCTGGTCTAATTAGTTTCCTCCTAGCAGCTTCTCAACCCTCTCATTTGTGTGTGCTGATCGCTTTTGATTTGAGGGATTGCGGTGAGGAGGGCTGAAGGTGTTCAGAGTTGGTCATCGCGGGTGAGCGGGTACCTGCCCACCTGAGAGCTAGCATCCGGATGCTAGGGGCTGGCATCTGTAGAGTTGCTGCCTGCTGCCCTCCCTGCTGTCCCGGAGCTGATAAAGACCTGCACCAAAGGCAAGCTGTGGTTTTGATTACCCTGCCCAGTCCCCATTTTCAAGAGTTTAAACTCTGTTAGAACCTAAACTCAGCGTCTGTGACTTCTTGATTCCTATGCCCTTTGTGCTTCCCCCCCTTCTCCACCCTCTTCTGTTTTCGGGTTTGTTTCTGTGAGAGTGAGGAAATGGCAGCCCTGGAGTCTAGAATCTGGCTTTCCACCAAGCACCTTATCTCGCCACCTTAGCCTTAAGAATGAGTATGAAGAAAAATCCACTGCCACCTCTGTTCAGGGCAGGTCTGCGAGCAAGAGGCCACTGGGGGCAAGGAAAGGAAGAGATGCTCTCTCTCTCCCTGACAGCTCAGGGGCCACTGCGCTCCAGAGAGCCCAGGGGAGGGGAGGAGCTGAGGGCATCTGAGTTATACAGCTGAGCCAGGCGCCCTGTCCCTTCATGAGAGGCACTGTCGCTGGGGGCCGCAGGACCTGCATGGGAGCCACAGTGTGCCACACCCTCCACTTGCCTCGCAAGCTCCTTCACACAAAAGCAGACTGCAGCCTGCAATCCTGACTGACTTCAAGGAATCAGAAATTGCTTAGAGCAAGCGTGTGTTTTCTGTGACCTTTTCAGTCCTTGAAGTCCTTTTAAGATCCCTGCAGGGGGGTAGTGAAGAGGGGTATATTTTGTGGATGTTTGCCTTCCTATTAGAAATATGAAGGGAACCCAGCAATTTACTGTCATGTGAATGGCCTGTAAAATCAGGTTGAGAGCAGCTGGCTCTGCCTGACTGGGCACAGCAGGAATTAGGACATCAGACAGACACACCTTCCAGGTCTTCATCAGGGCCTCAGCCACCCAGTCTCAACCTAGCACAGCACTGGCCACCCACAGGCCTCCCCTGGGTACCAAGGCTCACTGCCAACTGATGCCCTTGCTTGTCCCTCTGGCTCTGAAGGATCTGACACTGTTGTCTTCCAAAGGGGGGAAAGATTCCTTTGTTTTGAGCAATAAAGTAACACAAATAGAAGGCCATTCCCATGCAGCTCTTTGTCACCGTGGGCCAGGATGAGCTGAGCCCCCCTCCCCACCTTGTCTCCATGTGGCCCACGGTGGCATTTGTGTTCGCCATCCAGATTCCTCTGCTTGTTTGGCCCACCCGGGGACTGCTCTGCTCCTGTGCTGAGATTCTGAGCGGATGGTTCCAAGTGGGTCCAGCCCAGGTAGATCCAAGTGTGGAGGTAACAAGAAGAGAGACCGCGTTGCAGCCCACACAACAAGAGAGGCCAGAGGAAGAGGGGGGTCTTGACAGATATGGGCGTTTCTAAATGTCACTTCCTTAACCGCTCATTCAGACAGAGGTGGGGTACAAGTGATTGTACACACAGGAATTAGGGGAGTAGAGCCAGGTACTTCTTTAGTAACAGCCTTTGAGCCCTGCAGTTATTGAAGAAGACTCAGGGTCATTGTCGTGTGGTCCTCCTTAGGAGGAGAGAGACTTAGCCTTGGGTGAGACAGGCCCTGGGTGCTGGTGGGCCAGACAGGCACCTGATGGTGAGACAGATGAGTGTTCAGGCCTGCCTTCCCCTTTCTCAACTGGTGTTGAGATTTGAGCCTGAGTTGCAAAGGCCCTGACCTTCACGCCCAGACCCCCAAACTGCTTAGGGCTGGGAGAGGGGCCAGAAGCCCCAGGACCTTAGTTCCTTTATGGACTAGCAACGTTCTGGGATGTGAGTCTTTAAGTGTGGTCAAACACTCTTGATGTACCAAATAGGGTTCCCCTTGAAGTGTTCTTCCTGAGCCCCGCCCACTCCCCTGAAGTACTGGTGTGACGGAAGGGGAGGCTGAGCCAGGCCTTGGCAAATGAAATTGCACTTCTTGAAGAGAAACTTTATAGAAGGTTGGGTTTTTTCCCCCCTCGTTGCGAAAATTCCCCCTCCCCCCCGAAAGAGCCTAAGCTCCATTCAGATCGAAGCCTAGAAATTACTTCCAAGTGTTTACTTTACGATGTTTACACACACGATTCACTTTTTAAAAAAGAAAAAAGAAATAGAATAAGAAAAATGCAAACTCTGGCTTTTTAACAACCTTTCAGATTTTTCCTGCATGGGATCTGCTGGCCCCCTGACTCACCAGCTGGATCAAATCCTCATTGAGAAATGTCCCAATGTGTGTCTCGCCCCCTCCCCCCAGCCACAGGGCTCCCTCCTGCCCGGACCTCTGTTTCTCTGGTGGCTTTTGCCTCCTGCTTTGCAGACTGCCTGCAGCCATGATTTTGTTACGGCACCTGTGAGCCAAAGACTGCACCTCTGGAGCAGGAACACTAAGCAATACTACACGACTCGATACTTTCGGGGGAATTTTTTTTTTTTTTTTTTGACAACAGGAAGAAGGGAACTAGGGTTTAGGTGAGTTCTCCTCCGCTGTGTGACCATATTCTCAGTGACACACATGTGCAGCTCACTAGGAGAACAAGGTTGGGTTTCTTTTCTGGTGTACAACACGAGAATCTGCAGACTTTTCCGTAGACAAAGAGGTCTTGTGTATTTTCGTCCATACCCAATGTTATACAGACTAATTGTGTTGTTTTATACTGTGGCCACAAATATTATGCAACGCACCATTGGTTTTTGTTTTTTATTTCATTAAAGGAAGTTTAATTTAAATGGAAGTTGTGTGCGGAAGTTGATATTGGCTTCTGTGGGCCTCTCCTCTCACCAGGAGGAGGAATTGTGGCTGATTCCAGGTGCAAAGGCAGTACCTTCGACTCTCTTCAAATCCTGTAACAGCACTGTCAGGCTTGGGAGGTGGTTCAGTCAGTCACGTTCTGGCCTTGCAGGCACGGGGACCGGAACACAATCCCCTGGACACATGGGGGTCTTGCGGTGGGGGCTGGTGAAATGGCTCAGTGGTTTAGAGCACTAGCTGCTCTTGCAGAAGATCTGGTTCAATTCTCGCACCCACATGGTGGCTTCAGCCATCTGTAACTCCAGTTCTAGGGGGATCTGATGCCCTCTTTGGGTTTCTCTGGGCGCTACGTTCGCATGTGGTGTACGTACACATATGCAGGCAAAGCATACATAGACATTAAAGACTTAGATCTAAAATATATATGAAGCTGGGCATGGTAGCACCCACGTCCAGTACAGAGATGGGTAGTTCCCTATCCAGTGAGAGACCATGCCTCAAAAACAAAAACAAAACAAAAGATGGACAAAAATAGAGCTTCTTCTGCCCTCCACATGTACACGCAAGACATACACAGAGTCAACGGTGTATATTTTGGTCTTCAGTGAAACAGCTGCCTTCCAGAGAGTCCATTCGAGTTCTCTATAGGAACATAACATATAAAATGAATGAACATACACATAAAAGGGATTTATTAGAATACCTTACAGGTCATGTCCAGCTAGCCAACAGTGGCTGTCTACAAGCAGAAGGTCCAGGTAATTGTTCAGTCTATGAAGCTGGATGTCCCTGCTGGTCTTTCCCAGAGAAATCGGCTCTACTGCCAGTGATGGGATGGGCTTGGCAACAAGAGCAAGCTTTCTTCCTTCCTGTCCTTTGTGCAGGCTGCCACCAGAAACTGTGGCCCAGATCAAAGGTGGCTCTCTCCACTTCAAAATCTTTAGAGTTGGGTCTTCCCATTTCAAATGATTCAGTTATAAAAACCGTCCCTCACAGGGGTTTCCAGCTGCTTGGGTTTAAGTTCCAGATGTAGTCAAGTTGGCAACCAAGAGTAGCCATCACATCCGTGATCAGGTTCCCAGCGAGCAGAAAGGTGTAGGGGTGAGATCCTGTTGCTCCTCCCTCCCTTGTCTCCTGCTCAATTCCCATGACCTTTAGCAGTCTCTCTTTCGGGAACGAGAAGTTGGAAACCATCCGTCTCTGCAGAGGAGGAAACGCTCACATTCTCTGACCAGACTGAGGCTGCAACAGGTGGTTTTTCTGACTCACTTTGGAGTCCCAACTCTGCAACATAAAACACAAAACCACACTGTTCCCCAGCAGATCTGGGCAGAAGCAGGCACCCGCAGCCCCTCCTGCGCTGTTCCAGCTCTGCAGACATCCGCAGCCCACCTCCCGGGCTGACATTCCTCTAGGCCTTGCTTTGCACCCTGTATTCCTGTGTCCTGTTTAGGAATCACCTTATGTGAGTTACTCAGATGGGGTGTATGGTTAAATGATCTGCTGTCAAAATGGCCTGTCATTGCATTCTCTCCAGTCCAAGCCCTGATACAGGCAGAGCCTGGCTTGGGCAACTCTACTGTTACTGAAATGGTTCCTTCTCAATGTCAAAAGCAAAACAAATGTTCTCACACACCTGCTGCCACGTGCTCAGGCACTGCTGAGGCTGGCCACCTGCCCCCGGGCCTTTTCTCACAGGTTGCTGCAGAAATCTGTCTAACTTGACCTTCTCCATGCTCCAAGGATGCCTGGCAAATGTTCTGGTAGGCTGATGGTACCATGAAGATGGGGCATTCACTATGGCCGGCACTCAGTCTCACACTGGGATTCTTAGGATGTGCCCTGCATGGGGACAGTCCCCACACTGATGTGGTCTCATCTTCAGGTCACGCTGAGGAGGTCCAGCACAGGTTCTTGAATGGCAGCCACTCTGCGCCCTGTAACTACAGGGCAGTGCTCACAGGACACTAGAGTAATAGCTATGTAGAGATTTGAACATGGCAGGTCCACCACCCTGGCAGCGGCTGCCACAGAGAAGATGGTTGTGCCCACAGATGGCATCGGAGGACACACCACATTTGGAGGCCCTGCGGGGTGGCGCCTGCATCAGTGAGGAGAAAGTCTGTAAGATGGGCAAGCACCTGTCATGTACTAGTGCACAGAAGGGGCAGGCTGGCTGGGCCCAATCGAGAGCATCCCTACCTGTCTAGACCTAACCTTGGTATAAGGCAGGAAGAGGGTGGTCCTGAGTTTACAACAGAGGAAGTAGGGCGGCCCTGAACTGGGCGGCATGCTCTCAGCACCATGTTCTTCCCTGTCTCCAGCCCACCCTGAGAGAAATTAGCAAAACTTCAAATGTTGAAACACTGAAAGTCACCAGGCAGCTGTAATCCCAGTACTTGGGAGGCAGAAGCAGGTGAACTTCTCTGAGTTTAAGGTCAGCCTGGTCTACAAAATGAGTTCCAGGACAGCCAAAGCTACACAATAAAACTTTGTCTCAAAAAAAATAAATAAAAAATAAAAATGATCGGAAGTTTGAAAGGAAACCAGTATGATGAACGCCCACTCCCTGCGTGGAGTGTGGAGCCAGCTGAGGCCCTGCTCAACCTGCTTGCTTGAGTCCTCCCCTGCATTCCCAGATATATTGGGCCAGCAGCACTGGCTACTACAATTTTCTAGAGTCCTTTGATGGAGAAGCAATGGAATGTTGAGGTCAGAGTGCTATCAAATGTGGGGAAAATGTTTAAAACTTGGGATTTGGTGGCTATTTCTTGGGTATGGCTTTGGTGGCTATTTCTTGGGTATGACATCAGTTAAACTGTGTAAAAACTTGATTATTGGCTGAGTGGTGGTGATGCACGCCTTTAATCCCAACACTTGGGAAGCAGAGGCAGGCAGATCTCTGTGAATTCGAGGCCGGCCTGATCTGCAAAGCAGATGGCAGGACAGGTTCCAGAGCTACACAGAGAAACCCTGTCTTGAAAAAAAAAAAAACACAAAAAGAAAAGAAAAATTTGATTATTAAAGTTAAAAATTAGGAAAGGAGTTGCATAGAAAACTCTAAAGAATACATCCAAATGAAGATGCGTGGTATCATTGCCCATCAGACACCAGGAGGTGTCACGTGGTGTGTGTTAGGATGTCCGCTCTTGTGCAAGAAGGCAGAGGCTGAAGAGATGGTTCAGTGGCTAAGAGCACTTGCTGCTCTTGCAAAGGACCCACAGTTTCTAACACTCACATTGGGTGGCCCACAACTGCCTGTCACTCCAGCTCCAGAGGACCCAATACCTTCTGACCTCCAAGAGAGCTTGTGTGTGTGTGTATGTGTGTGTGTACGCATGTGCACACGCGCAATGTAAGTAAATGAAAAATCTTAAAAAGATACAGAAAAGTTGGAATAAGCTGTGTTGGTGTTGATGTGAAGTACAGCCATTATGCAAAATAGTATGGAGGTTCTTCAAGAGATTAAAAATAGACCTGCCAGATGATTTAGCAATCCCACTTCTGGGAATATGTCCTAAAGAAAATATGTTCTTAAAGCCATGTCTCCAAGAGACACATATGCTCATTATATTCACAGTAGCCAAAAGGTAGAAGCAACTTAAATGTCCATCAGCAGATGAATGAGTAAACAAACGGAATATTGTTTAGCCTTTAAAAAGAATATCCTGGGGCTGGGGATATGGCTTAGGTGGCAGAGTACCATACAGGCTTCAGTTTCTGACCACGGACACCATGGAGAAGCTGGGCATGGCAGCACATGCCCATAATCTCAGCACTGGGAAGGCAGTGCCAAGAGGCTCCCTGGGACTTTCTGGCCAGCCAACCCCGCTGAATCAGCCAGCTCCACTGTAAGTGAGAGACCTTGCCCCAAACAATAAGTCAGAGAGTGATCAAGAAAGAACCCCAATTGCTTCCGGGTGCATGTTTATTCTCACACAGGTGCATGAGACCTCCATCCCCCACCACACACACACACACATGCGTGCATGCGCCAAAATACAAACGAAGGTAGGTAGATGGATATCCTTGAACATGCACATGATTGAAACTTAATAATACTACGCCTTGTGAAGTAAGCCAGATACAGGAACTATGTAGAGCATCTAAAGCACTTAGAAGTCAGAGCAACAAAACGGCCGCAGGCGAAGGAGGAGGCGTGTGAAAACACAGAAAGGCTCAGTGCTCCCGTGGCACCACATGTATTTTTAACTTCTTCCACATTAAAGAAAAGGCAGTAGTGGTTTTACATACTGCGAGGCAGTAGATTCTAGACAAGTTGGATGTGGTGGCATACCCTTGTAATCACAGAACGTGGGGAACTGAGGCAGACGCACGGCCAGTAATAGTTCCTCAGCCTGTTCTACCTATTGAGTTTGAGGCTGGACTGGGCTGTGTATCCCTAGTGTAGCAAGGGGTGATTAGGGCTGGTGAGGTGGTTTAGCAGGTTCAAAGCACTTTCTGCCAGGCCTGACTACCTGAATTCAGTCCACAGGACCAACAGTGTGAGAGCAAACCTTCGTATGGCTGCTACAAGTCATGTACCCCGCCAGCATACATACACACACACACAAAAATCTTAAGTTGGCTATGTAGTACAATGAACCCTTGAACAATGCAGACTGTGTCAGCCACAACAGTTGGGTATTTGTCCCTAAGGGTGGGTATGGGAGCTTCCTGTCCCCACTCCTTCCTCCTATTCTGAGTTGTCTTCTCTAAACTGTTCATCAAAGTTGCTTGTAAATCAGGATGTTTATAGAGTCGCCCTTCCCTGGGGAATGTTCCCTTAGCAAGAAGAAATGACCTAGGGATCCTTGCGGTGGTATCTTCCTTCTTCAGGCAGCTAAGCAGATCTCCAGCTCTCCACCCCTGGTGCCTGCGCTGCTTCTGTGCCAAACCCTGCCCTTGGCCTTTGCTCACAGGAATTCAGTCCACACTTTGAAAACTTCTTTAGCCTTATAGTAAATGTATTGATGGA